ATAGATGAAATTGGAATCATTGTACCAAGGTGGAGAATGTGGAGAAATTATGACACAATGATGATGGGCTGGTTCATTTTCAGAAGCTAGGCTTGTGGGTCGGGTTGCCCATTGATAATTCAAGTTGCCCATTATTGTGGTAAAAACGTGTTGCTGAAAACATGATTTTTTAATAAGAATAGATGCTTCAGATCTTGCCAAGTGTTCTCCCCTACACCGTTGGATAAAGGGCTTCTAGTGGCTTGGATTTATAATCGATCCTAGGGTTTCTGATTGAAGCCTCTTCAGTTCTCTCACTGCCTCTCGAACTCTCTGTGTGGTTTTCGTCTGTTCTCTTTACTACACTCTTTCTTTTAGCCCATTTATGATGAAAAATCACCAGCCATGTATAGATCTTGAGTGATTGATGTATAGGCTTTGATCCTTCATTCTTGTGTGAATGTTGTTATGATTTGTGAGGCTTCTTTTTGGAAAATCGTGCGTGACTTTCAACGAGTGCCAAGAGATCTGTACTGGACCGTTCGATTGTTGATGATTTTAGTGATATAGTGATTTTCTTCTGGTTTGACGGAAACTCAAAAGGGGATTAGGAACTCCGATTCTAAATCTCTTGCCTTAGGGTGAAAAATCTTGTGTTCATCTTTATTTTTCTGTGTTTTCTTTTATTTTATTTTATGGGTATTATTTACGATATTTGTTGTTGATTAAAACTCGCTGTTTTCTTGGTGAACTTCGCGTTATATTTATATATAGTTAAATTAGTTGTTTCCCTTTGAGCCAAAAGTTTCAAGATTTTAAATGACATCTTCTATTGTTTTGATTGAAGCAGGTTTGCCCATTTACCTCTCTAGTCTCTACGTGTATGGTTCAAATATGATTATTACGCAATTTTTAATATGAATTAAACAGAAAAACACGAGATAATATAATTATTACATACTTAATTTGAAATATGAATTATATAACCAACTATTTAATTATCATTTCCAAATTCAAATTGTAAAAATTTCGTAACACTGTTCATGATTAACACAAAATGTAAGTTACGATCATTATAAAAAAAATTTACAGAAGGTAATTTATAAAAATTTATTTACAATAAAATTTGCAAAACATTAACACATGACGAAGTAGTTATACACAGTGAGCATTTTTTGAGTAGGGACAGAAGAACGATTGCCCCAGCAACCTTTTTTAAAAAATTTCTGCATTTTATATATAAATTTCTTAATATATACTTAAACCATATGGCAACTGTTCAAATCAATGGTCACGGTTTTTACGCATCATCCAGTGTCAAACTTCTGGTATAAAATGATTGTACAACTAATTTAATCCAAAAATATATGGCAAGCTGGCTTACCTTTTTAACACACATACATACACATGGGTAGCACCACACTATTTCACCAAAAGTTGTACCTAATGAACGAAGTTTAATTATTTTCTTTGATTCTTAACAATTTATTTATTAAAAAATTATTTATTTATTTATTTTACAACTACATAAAATATGAAATAAACAATTATGTTAAATTAACAAAAATATTGAATTCATTAATAAAAAAAGGTCGTGCAATTAATAGAAATACCATAACTATGAAAATATTAAATAATAGTGCAAAATGTTTCAAATCCTAATATCATGATAAATACGAAGTCGAATTAATGTTGTAATTTAATTCTAGGAATTCTTATATTCATCCTATAAATGCACATAATAATAATAATAATAATAATAATAATAATAATAATAATAATAATAATAATAATAATAATAATAATAAGTGTCAAAACTCATAAAATCAGGTCGGGTTTACCTTAATTTAAGAATGAGAGCTCGTGAATATTCAATATTCACTTCAAAGAGGACGGGCTAAAAGATCACCAAGTCAGTTTGACCTATGAGCTCTACCAAGCCACGTCAGCTCTTCAAGTTAGGTCATATCAGCCAATAATATGTCAACTTGGTCTATGATAGGGTCCGCTCTCCATGTTTGGCCAGCTCGACCAGTAACATGTCAGCTCGGTCTATGATGGGCCTGCTATCCATGTTAGGTTAGCTCGACCATTAACATGTCAGCTCGACCAATGACAATAACACAACTCGACTTAAAACAGATCAGCTCTTCATGTTAGGTCAACTCGACCATATTGCCGTCATTTAGAAAACACCATCATTGCTTTACGACACTTGTGCCTTATCTATGACATCATTGCTTCCCATGCAGCCATTTTCATAATAACACGTGGCACTCATGATAATTGTGCCTTACTTTCAACCAATCAAAGGCTTGCAATGATTACTTACCACCTCGATATCATCATGAGCTGAGTATACCGACCTCAAAGGACCAATCAAGAGCTAAGGAAGGCATGTACAATGGCACACAATTCAAGGAATGCATTGTAGATAACCTATTTTTGGAGGTCAATTGGCTGTTTTAGGAGCCTATAAATATGACCAAATGGTTTCCCAATGGGAGGGGGGAAGGACATACAATACACATTCTACAAGCTTTCTTTTTGATACAAATCTATCTCTTTTTTCTACTATTTCAGCAATTTACCTCATATAAATCATTAAGTTGACAAAGATTAAACTGATCATTTTTTGACGTCAACAACAACAACAACAACAACAATTTATTGTATAACGAAAATGAATAACAAAAATGGACACAAATATCCTTAACAAAATTTTGTGCAAAGGGGAAGAGAATGGCAAAAACGTATTTAATCATTTTGGTGCAAAATAATGCAAATGAATAGTGTTGTATCATATTTGGTGTTGCATTATTCATTTGCACCATTTACACTAAATGGTGCAATGGGTTGGAGGAGACTTTTGCCAAAAGTTTGATGCAATTGGATGAATTTTGGTGAAATGAGATCGGTTGGAGGTGCCATCACGATGTTCGCAGTTTGTCGTTTTTACATAATTCTATCAACTTCTTTTATATTTGGCCTGCATAGAAGGCTTTCATAATCAATCATGTAGTCAATGTATTTAGCATCAAATTATTGACTTTCATGTGTATAAATCTATGGTTCCACTAAGTAAGCTAAAAAAATTTCTACCACTGAACTATTAAAGACTATCAAGCACCATCATAGACCATATGGTGATTAATATTCTTTAAGCACGTCAAACGAATAGACCAGTCATGAGTAAGCTCTGTTTGACAATTATTATTTAAAAAACACATTGTCTTGAATAGTGATTTTTAGTAGAATGTGTTGTTAAGAAGTAGGAATAAATTTTATATTATGTACAGAACATTTTATTAAGTGAATGTGTGATTGAAAATAAGTACGTAGAAAAAAGAGTTTTCAAATAATGGTTGCGCTAAATGTCCATGTGGTTTGGGCATAGCACTAACCCCAATTTTGACTAAAATTATAAGGTTGCTAGACTAATTTCAATAAGGTTTCAATGAAAGAATGAGGAGTTTTTGCTAATAAATATAAGAATCAAATGTATTAAAGATGGAAATCGAATGAAATCAAATTAATAAGGTGTGATTGTTAAGTTGTTGAGCACAGTTATTATCACTCTACAAAGTCAATATGGTGAGGCTATCGTTGGGTTCGAAGAAGGCAGGAAGCCCTGTCTACAAGGGCTGCACGGAGTAGAATAAAGCCCCTCGAATCAAAATTTTATTATGAAGAGCTTAGGAATTTCTGTTCTTGTAAATTTCGATTTTGCCATAACTTGTCTTATAAATAGGAAGTCATCATTAGACTTTTGTATTACTATTAAGAGAGAGAGAGAGGGGTTAAAAAAAATAGGTGTGTGATTTTTTCTCGTAAAATTCTTTTTGCTATAGTGAATTTTTGTAGATGAAAAAGAAAGTAGTTTCAACATTATAGCGAACCTCTAAAAAAAAAATTGTATCGTTGTTTCTTTCCGCTAACTGGTTGCTCTAGGTAAAATAAAATTAAAATTTCTAATTCTTAACGACAATTGAGTCAACTTTTGTAATGACTACTTGTTTGAAACTATTTCAATTATAATTAGAACAAGACCACACACACACAAAAAAAAAATAATAATAAATAATAATAATAATAATAATAATAATAATAATAATAATAATAATAATAATAATAATAATAATAATAATAATAATAATAAATCTATGCCTTTCCTATTCAATTGAGAAAACAGTAAAGATTTGTTACCTGCGGGAAGTTGTCAATGAATTTGGTAGCATTAACAAGTTCTATTGCTGTTCTAATCTCTTCATCAGAATCATCTCTTTGCCAAACAATATGTTTTCCTTCAAAGTAGTTGCAAATAAGATTGGTTCTTGACTTACTATTCCCATTTTTCCTCCGATCCATTTTAGTTTCAACATCTTCAAAGTAAATCCATCTATAAGTACTTCTCCAGCATCAGGATCATAAAATCTCTCCAAGAAGCTAAAAACTGTGGACTTCCCAGTTTCACTCTGCCCAACTAGAGCTGCAGTTTGGACACTTACAACGTGTAACAAAAGACCTGAAAATATCTGCACTTCTGGCCTTGCTAGATATGTGAAATACACATCCTTAAGTGCAATTTCAACTCATATCTTCCAATAATAAATCTATGCTATGACTTATTTTTGCTTGCTTCATTTTGTTTTACTTTGCTTAACTTCAGCATCAACCATATTGATATGACCTAAATGTGTCGTGTCCTCATTCTTGTGGTGATTGCTCTCATTTATCTCGTGACTTCTCAATCCTGAATCAACTATTGACTAGTCGACAACAACTTCATTCCAGCCAAAATTCAACTTTGTAGCACATTAATGTTACACAAAAGCCAATATAACCAAATTTAAAAATGACAACAAGAATACACAAATTTACATGAGAATTCAAGACGAAAAAAATTATGGACAGAGAAAAAGAAATCCACTATATCAAATATGAGTACAATAGTTGGTGTTTTGATGGTTATACCAAAATTATACAACGAAACCCTAATATGCATTGTGCCTACACACACACACACACACACACATACCCAGAATAATAAAACACGGCCATACCGTGGGGGCCCCGCCTCTATTGGCTCAATCCCTCCGTTACCACCACAGACCCTCAAAATTCTTATAATTTTGGTTTTACCATGTTGCACCATGAGCTTTTTGGGTAGGGCCAAACAAAATTCGGGTCATTGTACTCTGACAATAATCAATGAGCAAATATTTTCCCTAATAAACTCATCTTCTTCTTGGTCTTCTGTTCTTGATCTTAAAAAATGAGTATTTGATTGAGTTAAGTTTATTCATAACAGTATTCATTGGCAACCGGTCCTTTGGCGATGAATTTGAACAAGAAAGTCCAATTTCCAATACTGAAATCAGTAGTTCTAAAAGTGGACCTCTATATAAAAGTTGGAAGCCATCTTTGCATAAAATCTCAATTTCTTCTCTTCCAGCGGTTTCTACCTCGTACGTCTTGTCATTTTCTCCGGCTAATAGCAACGATGGATCGACAATTTCCATAATATGTTGAGGCAAAGCTCTGGCGACATATTCGTGTATGGTCATATCATCTTTGAATATATCATCAGTTGGTCTTTTGCCTACAAATAACTCCAGTAAAACTATTCCAAAACTGTAAACATCTCCAAGGCTGGAAACCTCACAGCCTGAACCGTACTCTGCAAGTAAAATCAATTTCCAAGTGTCACTTCTTTACATGTGTTAGGAAGATAAGGTATGAAATTTACTGGTTTGTTTGGTGAGATGGGCTGTACAGTATAGGCAGTCTTAACAAAGAGAAAAAGTTCAAATTCTGTCCATTGTAATATTCAGTGTTGTGCAATACTGCGAATGTAAGTTTTTCAGGTAGTGATTAAATTGTGGACAGTGAACTTACCTAGAGGAATGTAACCAATCGAACCCTTTAACTCAGATGACATGGTACAACGTTTCGGATTTTCTGAACCTTTGAGGAGAAACTTTGCCAATCCAAAGTCTCCAACGTGAGCAGTCAAATCTTCGTCTAGAAGTATGTTGCTTGGCTTTAGATCGCAATGAACTATTGGAGTGTGGTAATAAGTGTGCAGATAATCTAGAGCAGAAGCAACATCTATGGCTATCGTCAATCTTTCACAGATGCCCAAACTCCTCCTCTGGTATGCTGCACGATGTGTTGAATGCAGCCACTCTTCTAGGTTTCCATTGATCATGAACTCGTAAACTAGACATTTGAATTCATTACCTTGACGATTGACGCTTGAACAAGCACTTATAATCTTGAGGAGATTTCGATGCCTTGTGCTTTTGAGAACTCCACATTCAGCCATGAAACTTTTGGTGGCTCTTTTCTGTTCAAGATTCAATACTTTCACCGCTACTATTGCACCGCTCACTCCATTCTCATTGAGGACTCCTTTGTATACGGAACCAAAACTACCAGAACCAATTAAGTTGTCCTCAGAAAATCCATCAGTCAACTGAAATATTTTTTGGTATGAATTGTATAATCGAAAATTTTGCGAAAAGAAAGCCTCGAGTTTCTGCTTTTTCGACTTCCTCGATACATACCAAACAGAAAAACAACATATAAACAGAATGAAGATTGCAGAAACAGTGACGGGGATTATTACTCTCACAACTTGGTTTCTTGAAGAGTAAGTCTTGGATTTCGAGCATGCTGGCAGATGAAAGTTTGGAGCTCCACCACATAGTGTATCATTTCCAATGATAGAATTTCTAGTTTTCTAAGAGTTGAATACTTCACGAAGAATCTTGGAATTTTGCCGGACAAGTTATTATGCGATAAATCTATCTCCTCTAAGCCTCGTAATGGTTCCAAAGTTTCAGGAATTTGTCCTTGAAGAAGATTACTGCCCATATCCAAACGCTCCAAACTTAGGCAACTGCTAAGGCTCCTGGGTATATTGCCTGACAATTTGTTTTCTGAAACATCCAGTTCCTTCAGATTTATGAGCCTGCCCACTTCGACTGGTAATGGACCAAACAATGCATTTTTCGCCATGTTTAAAACAATTGAAAGAGAAGAGAGACTCATGACCTCCTTTGGTATAATTCCAGTAAGATTATTATCAGAAAGGTTTAGCTCAATTAAACCTCTGCAATTACCTATTTCTGAAGGTATGTTTCCTTGGAGTTTATTGCTCTCCAAGCGAAGTCTAGTTAACGATGTCAAGTTACCAAGAGAAGCTGGAATCATGCCAGAGAGTTCATGACCATTGAAATGCAATTCCACTAAGTTTTGAAGCTTTCCAATGTCGTCAGGGATGCTTCCTGTGTAGAAATTTTTTTCCAGGTCTAATAGGGTCAAATTAACAAGATTTCCTATACCAACAGGAAGATTTCCATGCATTAAATTGCTCCCCAATGTAAGTATGTTGAGTTTAGTCGAAAGGTTGGCTACCGAATCTGGTAATTCTCCACCGAAGAAATTTTTGGCCAATCCCAAATCTTCAAGATTCGTACAATTAGTTAAGAAATTAAGGAAGTCTAAATAGCCTTTTTTACCAGTTCCAAGTTTATTATCTGTTGGAAGAATTTTGTGAATAGTGACGTCGAAATAAGTATAATGATGGTGACAAAGCCGAGGCAAGAGTTGGACTCTTTGTCCTTAAGTCGAATTTGCCCCGCAACGGTGCCTACGGATTTCGACAATCGACTCCCAAGATACAACGGCTACACTTGTGTTTGTAGCACTTCAAAACACAAGTACAACGAACCAAATGTAAGCTTATGTACTCCACAGATGAAATGAAAGATAATCAAAATAAATGAAATGATTTTGATTTTGGATAGAAGAGAGGATGAGAGACGTTTTTGCATATCAAACTGTGAGGAATAGGACACCCAGAGGGTCCTATTTATAGACCATGAAGGGGTGTGGACGAAATGGTTGAGGCCAAACCATGCACCATTTCCAAACAATGCACCCTTATGAAAAGGTGTCTATTCACTAATGGTTGAGGCCTTTTTCGTAATTTCTCATTCATCCGATATTGGTTTTCGAAATGCCAAATATACCCTTCAATACATGCAGAGAAATCAAAATTCTCTTTCGGGGGCGTTGCCCCCGACCCCCCACGA